ATAAAAATCAGAAAAATTAATAAACAGTAATTTCAGTGAGGGATATATATTAAAAAGAAAGTATAGCAGGATGACGTGCTAGTGATGGGAGATGGGCCATATGTAGGTTGATAGACAGGGAAGGACTTTCTGAGGCTACATCATTTTTTTGATGCTGAGAAAATATTTGCTAAATTAATTTATTACATAAGCCTATTAAATATACCTATAAAACCTGGAAACAGAGGCAAAAAGATAAAATGACTGGTTTGTTGATACTGTACTATGATACCAACTAATACAATATACCACAATATATAATAAGAATATGCAATATGTAACATGTATCAGTATGCTGCTTCTCCTTAGCAGTGCCTGGTTTCATGCATCATACAAAATTGCAATGAACATGGCACATTAATGCAAAATTTCCATCAATTCCTGCACATAATTAGTATTAGTGTGTGATATTGCTTCCTATTTCTTTTTTCTTTTTCTTTTAATTTGTATAAATTAAAGGGGCACAAACAGGGTTTTGTTATATGGAGTTACTGGAACTGCAAGAAGGAACTAACCTTAGGAAGACTGGGTTAGAGTACTCTGTACAGTAGAAACAACAAGTAAAAAGGTTCTGAGTCAGGAACAAGTTTGGCGTGTTTAAGAAATAGCAAGTATGGCTGGGCGCAGTGGCTCAGACCTGTACTCACAGCCCTTTGGGAGGCCAAGGTGGGTGGATCACCTGAGGTCAGAAGTTCAAGACCAGCCTCGCCAACATGGCAAAAGCCTGTCTCAACTAAAAATATAAAAAATAGCCAGGCATCATGGCTCACGCCTATAATTCCAGCTACTCAGGAGGCTGAGACAAGAGAACCTCTTGAATCTGGGAGGTGAAGGTTGTAGTGAGCCGAGATCATGCCACCACACTCCAGCCTGGGCAACCGAGCAAGACTCTGCTTAAAAAAAAAAAAAAAAAGCCAGTTGTGGTGGCTTATGTCTATAATCCCAGCACTTTGGGAGGTCGAGGTGCGTGGATCACGAGGAGTTCAAGACTACCCTGGCCAAGATGGTGAAACCCCTTCTCTACAAAAAATCAAAAATTAGCTTGGTGTGCTGGCAGGTGCCTGTAATCCCATCTACTGAGGAGGCTGACATAGGAGAATCACTTAAATCCTGGTGGCAGAAGTTGCAGTGAGACAAAATCATGCCACTGCACTCCAGTCTGGGCAACAGAGCAAGACTCCAACTCAAAAAAAAAAAAAAAAGATAAAGAAATAGCAAGAAGGCCTCTGTGGCTGGAGGGTGGTAAGGGACAAAAGATAATCTTAAAAACGTGGGGCCGGGCGCGGTGGCTCACGCCTGTAACCCCAGCACTTTGGGAGGCCGAGGCAGGTGGATCACGAGGTCAAGAGATCGAGACCATCCTGGTCAACATGGTGAAACCCCGTCTCTACTAAAAATACAAAAAATTAGCTGAGCATGGTGGCGCATGCCTGTAATCCCAGCTACTCAGGAGGCTGAGGCAGGAGAATTGCCTGAACCCAGGAGGCGGAGGTTGCGGTGAGCCGAGATCGCGCCATTGCACTCCAGCCTGGGTAACAAGAGTGAAACTCTGTCTCAACAAAAAACAAAACAAAACAAAACAAAACAAAACAAACGTGGGGGCCAGATCCTATGGAATCAAGTAGGTTATGGTAAAGAGGTTTGGTTTTATATTCATTTCAGTAGGAAGATATTAAATGCTAAGAAGATTACGACAAATGTGCTTCTTTGAAAACTAATAATAATGGTAGTAATAATAGCAACAATTCAAAAATAACAGAAAGTGGTTTGGATTTTCTCTCCCCAGACCTCACTCTCCCCCAAATGAGATGAGAAAGACATCAGAATGCTAGCAAAGAATAGTAATATCAAAAGTGATGAAACCCCTGTAGAGCCCTGAACCTGTCTTTGTTCTAATATGTGAAAACAAGGAGAGCTCAGCTATGAGACAGCAATATGATAAAGACAGCTTTGAAACCTTTTGAACAATTTTCTTTTAAATAATATATGCAATGCTGCCTTTCTGAAACATTAATTTTTATACTCTTGAATGATGTCTCTAGAATGGTAAATATGTCCCCACATACTGAAAATAACTTTTACTAAATAAATTAGTTTTGAAACCATTGTGTGCCATGTTTTGTATATTTTCTCTCTGTAGACTTGTGATTATCTGCAATTTCCTTTTCCCTGTTACACCAGCGAAGCTAAAGCTAACAGTGGATATAGTCATCATAGTTATGGAAGGGAATAGAATTACTCAGGGCAACTCTGAAGAGTAGCGGTTCTTAGTCATGGATGTGCACTAGAATCACTAATGAGAGATTTACTTTACTTCATTTCATTATTTTATTTTGATACTGATGTCTAAGCCCACCCCAGATAAATGGAATCAAAATATCTGGGAATGGGGACCAGGATTCAGTAATTAAAAAAAAAATCTCTGAAGTCATTCCAATGTGAAATTAGGATTTGAAACTATAAAGTAAGATTGTAACAGAATTGAGGACTTGATCCTAATAAATGTCTGGGAAAAGAGGGAAGAAGGAACCCAAATGGAACAAATTCCAGTAGATCTTAAGGCCTGGGAAGAAGCCTCTTTGGTTCTGTATTCTGCCTGCTTGGCCCATTGTGGTGGCGTCATCACCTTCAGGGCTCTGCAGAGTAGCCCTGCCCCTTTGGCATGGTAGGGTTCCCCACCTGCGATATTCTCAATGCTGGACTGTAAGCAGGGTGATAAACATGTTCCTACAATAGCCTTTTACCTCCCACAATTAGTTAACGCAGCAATCGTCTTCTTTGGAAACTACCTGGAACTCTGACATCCTCTAGGGCCCAATTTTACTATGAAGCAACTTCCACCTGTCTCCTCTGCCTTGCCCTCCTACCCCCCACCTCACCGATTTGCTACACTCCACCTCAGTCCCCAAATGTTTCTCAGTAAATGGAACCTCAGGCCCTTGCAGTCAAGCCCACAACAAAAGTGTTACTCCCAACACGTTAGAAGGATCTCACAGCAACTTCTGCCCCATAGTGTTGTGAATTCTAATTACTCGCTTCTGGTCACAAGGCTTCACCTTCCTCATAACACCCAGGGAAGAAATTGCAACAGTAGGGCCTTCAAGAAGCTCCCCCTCCTAAGATGACTCAGACATTTCAATGTTCTCTGTGAAACATTCTCTACATCTTCCTGTAGGAGACGCAAGAAGAAGGCGCTCAACTTTTCTCCCTCACCCAAAAAATGCAGTTGCATTTGCCCTCACCCAAGACCTTTCCTTCCTCTCTCAGGAGGGGTGTCTTTCTCTCTAAGGCTAATTTCTTTTCCTCTATCATCTTGACCCACTCTCTCCTGTCTTCACAGAGAACTCACTTAATCTATTACTGCCTCCCATTTGTGTTTTTTCAGTCTTTATTTCCATGCCCCTTTCTTCTCACTAGACAAACATCTTCTATCTCAAAACAATGCAAAAAAAAAACAGGTTGGCTGAGTCTCCTCTTTTGGTGGATTCTATTTATTGTCTCCCCTCCAGCTCATGGTCTAGCTTCATTGCCCATATTCTCTGCTCTTCATACCTAACATCCCTAGTTCATCCCTAAATCTTCAGTTATATGTTTTGAGGCAAGATCTCACTCTGTCACTCAAGCTGGAGTACAGGGGTGTGACCTTAGCCCACTGCAGATTTGAATTTCTGGGCTCAAGTGACTCTCCCACCTCAGCCTCCCACATAACTGGGACAACAGATGCTCCACCATGCCCAGCTAATATTTTATATTTTTTTTGTAGCGATGGGGTTTTTCTGTGTTTCCCAGGCTGGTCTTGAACTTCTGAGCTCAAGCGATTCTTCTGCCTTGGCCTACCAAAATGCAGGGATTACAGGTGTGAGTCACTGTATCCTAAATCACTCTTAAATCATTATTCTAGACCCTAATCTGGGTGCTGCTTATATGATCCTTGGAATTTCTTACTGAAGTCACTAATGAATCCCTCGTTGCTGTTTTTAGTTAATGTTGGTCAAGCCTTACTTCTCCCTCAAACTCTCCCAGTTTATTTCCCTGTGTGGGTGGTTTTCCTCAATCCTCCCTTATTTGATGGTTTCTCTCAGAGTTCTGTTCTTAGGTTACCTGCTTTCTCACTGACAGTGAGAAGTGGATCTTATTTTCTCTGATATCTTCAAAGGACTCCTGTATGTGGAAGATTCCCAAATTGGCATCTCCAGCTCCCAGCTGTTTTCTCAGTCCACACTCATGTTCCCACTGGACAAACACCTCTCCAGAGCTTTCATAAGCACCTGCAACCTAGCCTGAAAAAAACTGAACTCAGTATCTTCCCTTTCTCTGCATCCCTCATGCCTTTACTTCTTCCTGTTGTGTTTAGTGATGTTGCCACCATCCATGTAGTTTTGTCCAACAGGAAAACTTCCAGGAATCTGTGATTTCTCCTTCCCTTGAATTTTCCTCCTCAAATTGGTTACCTCAAACCCATCTCCCCTTTATTCCTATTGGTAGTCCCCTTTCATGAAGTTTCTCTGGATAGAAAAAGCCTTCTAACCCTCTTTCGTAACTTCAGATTTCCTCACTTTAATGTATCCCACATTAGTGGAGGGAAATATCTAAAATTGAGCCTGACTCTACCCTTAGCTTTTAGGTAATACGCAAAAGCCTTTTCAAAGCAAATAAACCCTCTCCTTATCTGGCCCAGCGTCAATTCTTACCACATTCTTCTCCTTTTATATTCCTCTCTCTTCATTCCCCCAACTCATATTTACTTTTCTTCAAAACATTCAGAGCTGCTTGGCCCAAACGGGCCATGCTCGTTTGTGCATTTGCACCAATACTTCCCTCTGCCATGTGCAGAGTATTCTCTCTATGCCCCTCTTCATATCCTTCTCAGCTCCTCCACTGCCATGAGAGTTGGAGCTTGTCTTCTCTGATGCTCTGGCACTCTGCACTGGCAACTATTGTAGCTTCTGTCACACACCTACAAGTTTTTACATGTCCATCTCCCTCACTAGTATGGGAAATCCTGGAGGAAGAGCCTAAATCTGATTTTCCTCTCTGTCTCCAGAGCTGGAATAAGGGCAGTGTTGGGCACAGAGGATGTGCTATATGAGTGTGGGAAAGTGCTGCACATCCATGTGGGTTCTGCTATGGAATGTATTTGACTAGGAGGGGCCTTGAGGTACTTCTGAGCCCTCCTCTGATTCGGAGGGCTGTGACAACTACGTAGTCTCCAAAACTACTTTAAAAACTGTTACAGTATTGATCTTGGTTTATACAGAAGGTATTAACAATCTCCCAGTACCAAGCCTTCTAGCACATAATAGAAGCTAAATAAATATTTGATTAAAATTAATGAATGAACAACCTTGTGACTTGAAATGTTAGTTCTGTTTTACAATAGCCCTAGCAAGGAGATGTCTTGTTAAAGAATGACACAGCTGCATTATGCTGGAGTGCAAAGAAGGAATATATTTCTTCAAGGTTTTTCTTTTCCTTTTTCTCTCTCTCTCTCTCTCTTTCTCTTTTTTTTTTTTTTTTTTTGACAGGGTCTTGCTCTGTCACCCAGACTGGAGTACAGTGATGCAATCATGGCTCCTAGGCTCAATTGATCCTCTCACATCAGCCCTACAAGTATCTGGGACTACAGATATGTATCACTATGTCTGGGTAATTTTTTTTTTTTTTTGGTAGAGATGGGGTCTTACTATATTGCCTGGACTGGTCTCTATCGTCCCACCTTGGCCTCACGAAGTGCTGAGATTACAGCTGTGAGGCACCATGCCCAGCCCTAGGTTTTTCTCATAGCAAAGTTAAAATTAATTTGATGTTTGGAAACTTCCCGTCTAACCTGAAGTAATCATTTTAAGCAAATAAAAATTTACTTAAAATCTTTTTAGGGCAGTTCTCATGTTGATCCTGTGTATTTTTTGTATGTGTGCCTATTGTTTGTTTTATTACATTTGTATGAAGGAAATGTTATGTTTACTTCTTACCTCAGCTTTCTCAGAACTCCTACAGTACTCAAGAACATGCATCATGAAGAAGTTAACTATTTCTTGACAAATACCAATGCACATGCTCACTCAGACAGGAAGGAAGTCAGAATGACTAAACAATTTCAGGTAAACATGTCTGTGTTTGAGATTTCATTTCCTCAGAACCCAGGCTTTCTGTGTGGCTAATTTGATTAGATCTAAATGAATGAGCTTTTAAAAATCGAAATATTGGCTAATCTAAGAGAAATATTTTGAGAAAAATTAAGACTAAAGTTGATTATTGATTTATAAACTTAAGAACTTGATCGAATATAGTAATATGTAAAAAATGCATCACAAAAAAGAACAGATGTACTACATATGTATTAGACATAATTGATACAGAATTATTTACCATTATCATATTATTTAAGATTCTACAGATGTTTTGAAGAAAATCAATGACTGAAAATATGGGAAGAATGCTTTCATTCTTATTGTGACTTGGATGTTAGGTGAAAATTGCAGAGTTATGACTAGTTCTCTGAAACTGACAGAATAAAGATGATATGTGCTGTATATATTAATCATAATTCTCATCAAATGAATACTTCTCCTCTGCATAAAACATTCAAATATATTGGTGATTGTGATGTTTCTTTTGCCTCCTATATTTTAGTGTCAAACAACATGCACTATGTTTTCTGGATGCATATTTCCAAACCAAGATCTCTCAGCATGTAGATACATAAAATTTTTGGTTACTATTAAATAATATTGATCAAAAGAAAACTGCCACATCTAAGACTAGAAAGTGGAAAAAGGAAAAGACAACAAAAATTGTGAAAATATAAATTCATGAATCCCATTCAATACCTTACAAGTGGGCTAAGGAATCTATATTTTTATGAGCTTTCCAGGTAATGCTGAAGCATAACCAGATTTTGGAAGCACAGGCAAGAACCCAGTTCTTTGTTTAGAATTAATTTCAACATCTCCCAGGATCCTTTACAACACTAGGAATGGGTGCTAAACAGTGTCCCTGGCCAGCAACAAGGGGGAAGGGAGCAGGTGTTTCCCTCTTCCTTCCCTCATGTGATGATAAATGAGTGTGCAGTAAGTAGACATGAGCCGGCTGCAGCACCTAGCTTGCCCCACTTGAAAATGTCAGCTGGCAGCTGGTGGGAAACATGAAAATTCTTTTAATGTAATTTATTATTTCAGAGTTGAGGAAACATTTATAGAGATATTAAGTTACTTGGCAAGGTAACACAGATAGTTCTTGTAAGATTTGGAAATAGAACTCAGGCCTCCTGAGACCTTATCCAGCTCTTTTCTCATTAAAAAATAAAAAAAAGCCTTTTTGCAATCAAACTTTACCCTAATTTTCCAGCCTCATTTCCTATCTCTTAACTCTGAATATATTGTTAACTTTTCCTCAGAACTCCAGCCACTTCATAATATAGTTGTAATGGCAGCCCATAGCCCCTTCTTTTGGTAAAAGCCTTTGACTGAAGCCATTTATCTTGGTCTGAGTGAGATTCACTCCAGTCCCTGGCCTGACTGATGAACAGGGCATGACCCAAACCAGGGTTTGTGAACACTGAATGAATAGTTCAGGGAGGCCATGGACTCATCCAGGTCAGTGAAAGTCAGTCAAGGCACTTTGTTGGAACCACTGGGATAGAGGCATTTTTTTTTTTTTTTTCCATCATGGTCCTTGTGGGCAGAAGGTAACCTATTCTTACTGGAGGCCAGATTTGGCAACAGATGGGGAGTTACCACTAGAGTAACAACAATTTTAATCTCTGACATGGTCAGAGATTAAAGCCATCACAGAAGAAAAAGTCATGTAGAGAAGAGAGACTAGCCGGGCATGGTGACTCACGCCTGTAATCCAAGCACTTTGGAGGTCAAGGTGGGCAGATCACCTGAGGTTGGGAGTTCAAGAGAAGAGAGACTGATTTCTGTAGTTACCACTAGAGTGTCTGAATGCAGTTACACCATTTCCAGAACTATTCCTGAATTTTTCCGTTAATGCATGCAATAAATTAACTTTTGGCTTAAGCCAATTTGATTGAATTTCTGTTATTTGCGGATGAGAGAGATCTTTAGTAAAATGCTTGATTTTGTCATTTCATAGCCTTTCTACCATTGCATGATGATACCATTTCTCTATTTTTCCTCCTGTGAAGCTATCTGTTAGAAAAGCAATGAAAGAGTTACCTGACTTGTTATGTTGATCATTCATGCAAACCAATTGCTTGGTTATGAATAGACCTTTCCTGAGGAGCATTAGGTTAAGCATGTGGGAAATTGATTTTTAACTGCTAAAACACTGGCATAGGCTCGTGAAATGTCACTGAACAAACAAGAATTTTTGCTTTGTGGAGTTTAACTTTTTATGCTGGAAGAGATAATTGAAAAACAACCATGAAATAGTCTGGATGCAGTGGCTCAAGCCTGTAATCCTAGAACTTTGGGAGGATGCGGCAGTGGATCGCTTGAAATCAGGAGTTTGAGACCAACCTGACCAGCATGGTGAAACCCTGTCTCTGCTAAAAATACAAAAATTAGCTGGGCATGTGGTGCCCACCTGTAATCCCTGCTCTTTGGGAGGCTGAGGCAGGAAAATCACTTGAACCTGGGAGGCAGAGGTTGCAGTGAGCTGAGATCTCACCGCTGTGGTCTAGCCTGAGTCGCAGAGTGAGATTTAATCTCAAAGAAACAAAACAAAAAGCAGACACATGAGAAACTAAGCATTAAAATTATTCTGTGGGTTAGAAGATGATATGAGCTATGTTAAACAAAACAAAATGTAACAAAACAAAAACAAAACAGACAAGTTTCAGGCTCCAGGCTGGTCAGCAGCAGTCGGCCCAGAGTCCAAACCTGCTTTAGTGGATCCAGGGTCCAGGCCTTCCATAGTATACCCTGGTACCAGACTGGCCCCCGCAGACCTAGTTTCCAGGATTGTCACAGTAGATCCAGGATTGAGGCTGGCACTCATGGTCCCAAGACCCGAGCCTGCCCACATGGATTCAGGCTCCAGGCTGGTTCCTGAGAATCCATGTACCAGGCCCTTCTCAGTGCCAGGCAAGTCCTTGTGGAATCAAGCTCAAGGCTTACCCTGGCACAAGGTTGGCCCTCATAAATATGAGCTCTAAACCCACCCCATAGATTCAGGCTCCTGGCCTGATCCAACAGACCCAGTCAACAGGTCTACCTTAGTGGATCCTGGCATCAGGCCAACCCCCATGTACCCAGGATCCAGGCCCAATGTTTCAAAACCAGGTTCCAGGCTGGCTTTGTTGGCCCAGGCACCAAGCCTGCCCAGCTGCTGACCTAGGCACCAGGCCAGCCTGCCTGAGGACTTGAGCAGCAAGATCTCTCACAGACCCTGTCAGAGGGCACACAAATCTCAGCCAACTGATTGGTTAAGGGCTTTCCCTAATGAAACCAATCCATAAGGACTGGAATAAATGGCTACTTCTTCAAATGCATAGACATGAACATATGGCCACAAAGATCGTGAACAATCAGGGAAACTGATTGTAAAACTACCAAAGAAATAAAACAAACCATCAGGAACTGACTGCAGAGAAATCGAGATTTGCAAACCACCTGAAAAAGAACGTAAAATAATCATCCTAAAGAAGTTCAGTAAGCTATAAGAGAGTGCAGACAACTAAATAAGATTTGGAAAATAATACATGAACAAACTGAGAAGTTCCACAAAGAGAAAGAACCACAAAAATGAACCAAATAGATACTCCAGAGCTAAGGATACAATGACTTAATTAAACCATTCTATCAAGAGCTTCCACAGCAGATTTAATTACAGAGAAGGAAAAAATGAGAGCTCAAGCACAGGTCGTTTGAAATTACCCAGAGAAGAAAAAATAATTTAAAATAGTGAAGAGAGCCTATAGGAATTATAGAGCAAGATCAAGCGAACCAACATGCATATTATGGAATTTCCAAAAGGTGTAGAGAAAGGGGAAGAAAGTTTATTTAAAGAAATAATAGAAGAGAACTTCCCAGACCTGGAGAGGAAAATGAACATTCAGGTCCATGAACTGCAAAGATCCGCAAAGTAGATTAAATATAATAATCAAAACAGCATAGTACTGGCATAAAAACAGACATATATTCCAATGGAACATAATAGAAAACCTTGCTGTGGAGAGAAATAAATCCAAACATTTATAGTTAAATGATCTGAGACAAAAGTGCCAAGAATACACAATGGGGAAAGGACAATCTCTTCAATAAATGATGTTAGGAAAACCAGATATTCACATTCAGGAGAAAGAAATTAAACTCTTGTCTTACCGCTCATACAGAAATCACTCAAAATGAATTAAAGACTTAAACATAAGACACACAATTGTAAAACTACTAGAAAAAAAACACAGGAAAAAAAGCTCTTTGATATTGGGCTGGGTAATAAATTTTGAATATGACTCCCAAAGCACAGATAACAAAAACGAAAATAGACAAATGGGATTGCTTCAAATTGAAAAGTTTCTACATAGTAAGAGAAATAATCAACAGAATGAAGAGCCAACCTATGGAATGGGAGGAAATATTTTTAAAACATACTTCTAATAAATTATATAAAAATCTCAAACAACTCAACAGCAAGAAAATAAATAATCTCCAATTTAAAAAATGGATACATGATCTGAACAGGAATTTCTCAAAAGATACACACAAATGGTCAACAGATATATTTTTTGATGCTCAATATCATTAATCATTAGAGAAATGCAAATTAAAATCACAATGATCTATCACCTCACAACTGTTAGAATGGCTACTACCAAAAATATGAATGATAACTAGTGTTGGAGAGGATTCAACACTTGTACACTGGAGAAAAGGGAACACTTGTACACTGTTGGTGGGAATGTAAATTTGTACAGCCATTATGGAAGCAGTGTGAAGGTTTCTCAAAAATTAAAAATAGTACTGTTACATAATCTGCTTCTGGGTATGTATCAAAAAAATAAAATCAGTATATTGAAGAGATACCTGCACTGCCAAGTTTTTTACAGCAATATTCACGATAGCTGAGATATGGAATCAACCTAAATGTCCATTAAAAGGTGAATTAATAAAGAAAACTTAATACATACACATACACACACAAACATATAGAAATGCCACTAAGACTTAGGATAAAAAGTCATTTGCAACAACAAGGAAACCTGGAGTACAGTATATTAAGCTAAGCCAGGTACGGAAAGACCAATACTGCTTGATCTCACTTCTTATGTGGACTCTAAGAAAGTCAAACTCATAGAGGCAGAGTAGAATGGTGGTTGCCAGAATCGGTGGGGGGGGGCGGGATTTGGGCCTGGGGTGGATGTTGGTAAAAGGGTTTAAAGTTTCAGCTAAATATGACAAATATGTTCTGGATATCTATTATATAATGTAGTGAATATAATTAATAGTAATATATACTTCCAAAATAATTAAAAATAAAGACATTATTTAAACAGTGATGAAAGAGAAATATTAAATTCATACAATAATACTCACAAAACTAAAGAATAATTACACAGTAGCCTCATAAAAATAGTATTATGGAAAAAGTAATCATAGTTAAGGGTCAACAGGCAATAAAGAAGTTAAATGACCTATAGTATACATGAAAATGATTTGTAAAACTAAAATATATAAGATAATAGTGCTAAAATTGTAGTTTTCTGGAATTGCCTGTTTATGAAAGTCTGATGTTTAAACATTGTTTTAGAGTGTAACCTGTTTAGTATTTGCTTCTAGTCTTTTTGTTGGTATATTGCTATATCTGTGTGTGTGTGTGTGTGTGTGTGTGTGTGTATTATGTAATGGCTAATAAAAAAAACACAAGCTAATTTCTCAAAGCAACAACAAAGTAATAGAAATGAGTATTAAAAATGTTGGGGGTGCAGAGGGTTATAATTTAAAATAGGCCTAACTAGCAAAGTAACAATTGAGCAAAGACTTAGAGGTGAAGAGTTATGCAAATTGCCACCTAGAGAGAGTGTTTCCAAACAACCAGCGTCAAGGGCAAAAGAGATTGTGCCTGTATTCTAGAAACAGCATGAAGTCTCCTGTAGCTGCTAGTGTAGAGCTAACAATGGAGAAAGTCAGAAAGATCACAGGGGGCAGATCACACATCGTTTACAGCCAACTGTAAGTACATTGTCTTTTACTCAGTAAAATGTAAAATGAAGAGCAAGTGAGCTTTATTTTATTTTATTTTATTTTATTTTAGCAGAGGAGTGACATAATCTGATTTGCATTTAAAAACGTCTTTGAGTGCAGTGTAGAGATAGACTGGGGTAAAGGTGGAAATGGGGAGGCCAATCAGAAGGCCACAGTGGATAATGTCTGCAGGTGTTTGGCTCCACACTTCCATTCTAAACTCTCCTCTTTACCAAGGGGCTGGAAGCTTGCAAACTGCTGTTTCCTGATTCTTTTGCCAGCTGGTTTCCAGATCAGATATGCCAATGGAAAACGTGATGGAAGAATAAAAATTCAAGGAAGGGAGAAGCCATTTGTCCTGCATCTGGGTGGCACCTCCAGCTGTCCTAGTGGTAGGAATAGCAAATACCTGAGCATCTAGAGGAGAGAAAACCACCAAGTGATATGGAGAGAAGTGCACATAGAGCATATTTGGACCAGAAGGGGGTTTGTTTTTTGGGGAAAGTAAGAATTCAAATTTGGAAGTGTTAAGTTTGAGATGACTATTGGATATCCAAGTAGGGATGTCAATAAGTAATGGACAGTCCTGGAGTTCAGGAGTGATGTCTAGGCTATAGTAAACATTTGGAAGTTAGTGATGTCATTTAAAGCCATGAGACTGAGTGAAGTCATTGAAGAAAAAAGAAAAGAACGCCACTACTCAAATCCTGAAGATCCCTGACATTCAAAGCTCAGGGAGAAAAGGAACCAGTGAAAGAGCTTGAAAAGAGTGAACAATGAAGTGAGAAGCAGACCATCAAAGAAGAGGCAGTGATCGACCTTGTCAAATCAGTGGATGAGTCAATTATGATGAAGACTGAGAACTGACAGCTGTATTTAGCAATGGAAGTTATTGGTGACCTTGACAAAAGCAGTTTTTATGGAGAATGAAAGAGAGTGTGAAAGTAAAAATCATGGCAACAGTTTATTAATTCACTAATTTATCAAAAAATACTTAGCTTCTGCTTTGTGCCAAGCACTAGGGATTGGAGGTGCATAAGAAAGACATTATTCCTGTCCTCTTGAAGTTTAGGGTATTTTACTATAATAATAGGCTATGATTTCATACAGGGATAAACTTCAAAACACTTATTATGTGTGTGCATGCACATACACATGTGCACACTTGAAAAAATAAAGCAAGCAAGAAAGATACCGGCTAAAGGAAATTTATTGTGAGTGCTGTAGGATACACTACAGAAGGCATTGCCTCTATGAGCTAGGACTTGTTAAATGTTATTTATATTTATCTTAAGAGCTGAAGCATCTGGCATCTTTAAAAAGGGATTATTGACACCCTTCTTGTTTTTATTTGGAGAAGTGGTTGACCAGGTGCCATAATATGATTTTAATCTGATTTTATCTCTTTAGTGCTCAGATAGCTTAATTACTGGTTTGATCAAACACCTAGAACATGAATTGTTAGAAAAATAACACATTGCATTCTTGTAGGCAGAATTGTTT